TTATTGTGTACTAGAAAACAACTCAACTGAACTTCTAGCTTTTAGCCATAGAATTGCTAAATGGATCTTTAAAATTAACAATTATAAGCTCATAATTAATTGATCATGTTAACAGCTGAAGCACAGTCATGTGCCAGGCATTTTGATAGGCCTGTACATACAATATTTCTAATTTAACTCTCAATACAAATCAATGGCATAGGCAGAATTATCCATTTTAGAAATGAGAACATGAAGCAAATGCTCAATTTTGGTTGGCTATCCTTATTTAACACACATTGAGTAAGTACTTTTAACACACATAGCAGTTTGTTAGGAACCACAGGAACATAAAATGTGTCTTTATCCCACAAAGATAAGGAAGAAATGAATGTAATCTACTTTAGCAGCAAGCTGGTTGGTGTCACATAAGAAACACCAACAAGAGGCTGTGKAGAGAAGATGACCTAGCTAAGGGAGTCACTGAAGGATTCTGAGAATGTGTCATATTAGAAGAGCCATGAAAGAATGATATCTAGATCACTGGCATTTGGCATCTGGGGTGAAATATTCTAGTAACAATGTACAGCATGAGGGCTTCTGAGTAAGGTACACCTAATAGATGAGTGAAAAAGATACTGAGGTGAYGTCATAGAAGACCTGGATTGTGAAGCTACAGAACTATGCATTTGTCCCTCTCCAAAGGAAAACAATTAATGTATTGGAAAGACCAGGATATGCATAAGGAAGCTTAATATTTAGGATATGTTTAACTTTTCATGTTGTGGAAAGCAGACACACTATTGACTAATTATCAYTCAGATAGGCAAATAGGAGTTTAAGTGGACCATTTATGAGAATGGGATGAGAAATATGCAAAAATAAAGTTTAAAAAATCATTCCTGACTCATACCCCAACACCCTAGCTGAAATCCTTTTAAGGCTCCGCCTTATTGGTTTACTATCAAATCATACTGCAATGTTAGTGAGAACTGTCTTTGTCTCAATTAACCTAATTCATAATGATCAGGTTCTCACATGTACTGATTAAGCTTAAAATGGGCAGCTTTTCAATTATAATATATGCAAAGAATTTATATTACTCAAAGCAAATATGGATGAAGTATTACTTACATGATATGTTGTTAATGCGGCACATGGGTGAAAGTGATCAAAACAAATGTCATCATTTTTTACTGAACATAAGTAYTTCTCTAAATCATTGTATCTCTCTCCATAGAGCACTAGAATTAAGAGCAAGAATTTTTTATAATGAAAACACAATGTCTGGAATAATTTAAAGTGAAAGACAAAATKTATGTGAATATATCAAACATACCAAGTCTAACTTTATATGACTGTTTGGCGTGCCAGTGGTCTTTGGGAACAGTGGCATTTTTCTTAGAAGCAATTCCTCTTGCCATTACACCATCTTGTTCTTTCCAGTAATTTTTTACTGATTGTAACCACCTAAAAATTAAATCTACATATTATTTTGGTAGAAAATGGGAACATTTTCCCAAATTAAAAAGTTTAAGTAAAGCAAATTTCCTGGGCCRTTAAGGAAATTGACTCAGGAGCCAGACTCTGTTAGATGGAATCCTAGTCTCACTACTTCTCTTTGTGACTCTCAGTTGATCACTTAGTCATTCTGTGCCTCATTTAAAATACATTATTTACATTATTACCTGATAATGATAATAATGAAAATAATAGTAAATCATAGTGGTTGCTTGTTTTTAAAATAAATTAGCAGATGCAAAATACTTAAGAGTAGTACCCACAATAGGAGGTATAGAATACCTTATTATAATTGTTATTAGTTGGCAAAAAACCCCAGTGACAAAATGATCTTTTATTCCAACTAGTAAAGCAATCTTTCTAAACAATTCTACAAATTAGGAAAATAGATCTCAGGGCTAATGGCTGTTAGTATACCTTTTTGTTTGTTTGTTTATTTGTTTCCTGGTGAAGGACAAAATAGGAAGATATATCTATCATTTCTTCTTAAGATTTTTTGAGGTATGAAGGGGAATTCCCTACTCAATTGCCGATCTGGCTGGGGGAGTCCTTCATATTTCTTTGTACAGGGTGGCTAACACCTGTCAGGAGTGCTATACAGACATCATCTTCAAGATCCAGAGATAAACTATTAGTTGATAACAAAGTCATGAAACTTTTTAGATCCCATAAAGTATGAAATTCAAACATTCAAAATAGGTAAAAATTCTGTCCTGACAGAACCCAGTTCCTACTCAGTGAGATGTTCGGGGTTACTTATGGTAGCCGAAAGAGCCAAAAAAGGACATCGGATCATGACAAGGAGATGCTCCCAGATTTCTGCTCCAATTTCTCCACCAAGACAATGGACCTATTAAAGTAAAAAAAAAAAAATTCTCAACTGAAAAGTTCATTATAAAAAATTGCAAATGAAAATAAAACATGAAACCTTAAAATCATCATACATACTTTCCATTGCCTTTAATCTATATGCCAAGTTTAAAGATGTATTGGAAAATCCATGAAATAGAAAATCTTGTCACCTAAACTTTCCTCAATCCCCATAACTACCCACCAATAATTCCTCTTTAATTTTCTTTCAAAACTATCTTTCCAACCTATGCCTTTCTATGTGTACTGCCAAACAAGCTGCAGTTACATTTTAATTCACAACCACCATATTCTCCTAACCACAGTCTTACCTTCCCTTCTTGCGCCCTACTTCACAGCCAAAATCATACATTTCAAGGACAAATTACATTAGGCCATGTCCCTTTAAATGTCTTCCATATTTTTTTCCATTGAATGTGGAACTAATTAAAAATTTTTTAATAGGATGCATGTTAGGGTTTAAATATGAGGTATCCCACAAAAGCTCATGTGTGACATAGTGCAAGAAGGGTTAGA